CTACTAATGCCTTCTACTTAAGACCAAACCTTTTTCAGGTGTATGATTTTATGTGGAACAATGCTAACTTAGCTGTTTTAGAGAAAAATCTTACTTCTCTTGCTATTTCAGCTATTGTTTATTTCCTATGGAGAGAAAGAAACCAGAGGAGGTTTTCTGACGCGAGAAAGAGCCTAAATCAAGTCTGCGATGATATTTTTGTTGCGGTTTGTGCCAAGGTTAAGAGCTAGAAAAATCTTGAGATTCTAGATGGAAAATTTGGTGAAATTTTGTCCTTTTTGGGATAACTGGGGCTTGTTGTTTTTGCCCTCTATCTTAGGTTATCTGGAGGTGTTTTTTGAAGTTTTGGACTTACTGGTGCTTCGTGAGGCTGCGGATTGGGAATATTCTTGGTTTTTTGTTTGCCAGAAGTCAATTTTTGTGTTAGAGACCAATTTTGGGTTGTTTTTGGTGGCCTGGACGATGATGAGATATGGACTACACCAGGCACCTCCTCGGATGGTCTATTGGCAACCAGGGCGTGCTTTTCTGACCGATTTCGATATGATCATAGCTGGTTAGAACACTGTGAGGGTCCTTGGTTTTTCTGTGGTGCGCTTCCATGTGGCAACCGGTGCTCCTACACATGCTACTGGGTTTTATTATCAGATTTAACGTCTCGAAAATATGAGCCCAACATTACCAATTTCGACTTAATACGAACCCAAATGGATCCAAATCAAGGACCCAAAGCGTTATTGGAAGGTTCAAATCACAATTTGAATTACCAAACGGTTTCCAAATGTAACATGCTTGTAGTCGAATCGAGCGGCTCGACAGGACGAATCTATTGAATCCAAGATCATTGAATTCTAAAATCACTAAGATGTTCAATTGTCTAGTGAAAAGTCTACGAACAAGGGAATCAACATCGGTCGTCCATGCAAACCACTCCAAACTTATCATTGATCTTCCTCTTATTTACTTGTCATATCACTCTTGCAAATCTATAATTTTTTTTAGTAAATCTATAAATATACCCATCATTTCTCATGAAAAGGAGACCGCAAGAAAGGAAGCAATAAGAGAGATCGGAGATCGCTCTTGCCACCAAGCTCCTCCTCGACCACCGTCTAGACTTATGCCAAACCACCTCCTGACGCCCAAACTTTCACCGGATCACCGAAGGACGCTGGACTTCCGCAGGAACATCGCCCTACACTGGACTTCTTCCAGACTATCGCATGATGCCCAAACTTCCACCATGCCACCCGTTGACGCCGGACTTCAGCGGACCGCCGACTGACGCCAGACTTCTGCCAGACTATCAACTGACGCATGGACTTCCGTCTGACCACCACTGATGCCAAACTTCCACCGGACAACCAACTAATGCCCAGACTTCTGTCGGACCACCAACTGACGTCTAGACTTCCGCCAGACTAACAACTGACATAAGGATTTCTGCTCGACCAAAATATTATCGAACCTACACCTGACCCCCTTTTGTCACTAAATTTCAATCATAAGGTTGATTATTGTAATATGGCTGCCCTCAAGGACGATTTAGTCAACTGTAATCTATGTAAACACTAGTTGAATCATTTTAACTAATCATGTCTCCTCTTTTAGAATTTTCCACGTGAAAAATCTTAAGTGGTAAAAACAAAAAAGTGCATGTTTCAAAATTTATTTTTCAGAAATTATATGAAGAAAATTTTATATAGAATATTGTGATTAATAGTCAAAATAGTGTTTAATATTTAAAATTTGTAAAAATATATAAATAGTTTATATTTCACTCAATTTAAAATAAATTTAAATATTTTAAAGTGTATTTTAATTAAAATTTTGATTCCTTCTCGATCTTGATATTCTAATCTAGTTTGAATGATCTAATTTCATTATTTAAATGACAGATGCCGGAATGGTTCCTCAGCATAACTATTAGAAATGATGAAACGCAAAAAGTGAAAAATACTTAATATATAGCGAGTATGGTTGAGATTTAGGCTTCGTTTGAATGATTTTTTTAATACTTTTTTATGCTTTTTAAAATAGATTTTAATAAAAAAAATTAAATTTCTTTTACTAGAAAATTATTTTAAGAAGCAATAAAAAAAACTTCCCAAAAATGCCTTAGTTTAAAGATTGTTCGGAGATATATTGAACATATGGAATGTAAAATACTTGTATCATATCTTTGATTTTATTTTTGATATTATTCATAATATTTGATAAGAGAGAAAAAGATTAAAATAGTCCATCTGCTCTTTATGAATGATCAAATTGTTTCCTAACTATATTAAAATTTTATTTTTGCCTCTTAGTCTTATAAAAAAAATAGTCTTATGATGAGACTATTTTAGGAGTTGAACAATCAAAATGATCTTTTAATATAGTTGGAAATTATTTTGATCTTTCATAAAGAATCAAGAGAACATTTTTATTCTTTTCTCTTTAATAAAAAAAAAAACAGGCTGCTTAATTAAGACTGTTCTTTGTAAATTTGTCAAAAGCATTTAGAGTGGATCAGGATGCTTTGATATGAAGGGAAGTGCCGAATTCATTCTTTCTGTAATTGATTTATATTTCTACTTCAACAAAACTTGTAGCTCTAGCTTTAGATTGTTCCAATACTACAGGCTTCTGTTTGTCGCTGTTTCATATGTCTTCACAATAATCGCTATTTATCACTAAATAACTTCAGCGTTTGCATGCATGAAACACTTAAACTGATTGTTCTCCTGGACTGGAAAGAGGAATATCTTAAGGTCTTTTTTTGGATAGTTTTGAGTTTTTTTCTTTGTTTTTGTTTCTAAAAATTACACAAGTTTTATAATGATCTTTCTATTAGGTGATTTGAATTCACAATTACAAATTTAAAATACAACTGTTATTACTTGAAATTGGCTTCTATCCTAATGATTTTCAGAATTATATTTTATAGAGAAGTGATCTGATTTAGGTGCTTTATATATGGCGTTATAGAGGTGGCCATGGAGCACTGTTGAAGTGGCGTTATAATTGTTGTGATTGTACTGAAAATATCACTATGAACATTGTAACTATTTGAATTTAATATAGGGGTATCAATATTTGCCCCAACCCACAAAATTTTTGTTCAGATTGACCCGATAAAGAAACGGGTAAGATTCGGGTCAACCCGACAACCCGGGTTTGACCCAAATTGACCAGTCAGCTACTACCGATGCCACCGAAGGGCGAATGTCGCACATGCTTGAGTCCTGACACCCATAGTGGGCCTAGCCGCCTAGCCCAGACCAGTAGACTTGAGACCTTGACTGGCCAACTAGACGACTTGTGCTTAACGCCTCGAGGAAACCGCAAGTGCCAGTTGCCAAGCGGCAAGGCCCGGCCCGCTCCTGCACTCTTGTGACTGCGCCGGATGGCACTCACGCTTGACCAATCTAGTTGACCTCCGCTGAGACGCTGACTTCTGCTGTCGTCGACTCGTGCTTAACGGAATAGCATGCCCGCACATGTGACTCATCGCGCCGGAGCATTCATGCTAGACAAAACCCAAATCCTATTCCAGGTTCGCGGGTCGGGTCAGGTCAACTCGTAACCCTCGCGGGTCGAATTTGTGTTGAAAATCCTAATCCATTTGTTTTCTCGGGTCGGGTTTGGGTCAACCCATTTATGCCCGGTTGAACTCGAGTTGGACCGAAACCTGACCCATTGACTCGAATTGATACCCCCGAATTTAATATACAGCTACTTATTTAATTTTTTTCTTTTGATGAGTTTGTCATAATTATCATGTTGTTGTTAGGATTGCATTCTATTATATCAAAATTTAAAGATTAGTATTGCTCAAAATATATTTTGATCTTTATTGAATCATATTTGGCACATAATCAATCCTTCATAACTAATGTTTGATCCTTGTTCCGAAATACATACTTCAAAACATATTAAATCATGTGTTGAATTGTGTCAATCAAGATCAAAATAAGTTCTACAAAATGACTGTTAGTAATCTCATATAAAATACCCTTCTAGATTTATAGTTTATGTTGTAAATATATAGCATTAATCAGTAATTTTCTACAATAATTATTAATAAGCTGATGGAGGAGACAAAAATACTGCATTGTAGGCTTGTAGCTTTACCTATAGAATTATAACTTAAGAATGAGAATCACCATTGAAAGAGAAGGCGTAGGGAATATAAGATAATGAGAGAAATGTTGTTTTTATAAAGGGAGATTTGCATACATACCACTTTATACTATTCTATTTATATATTTAACATCTAAAATTTTAATATTAGGTACATGCCACCCATAGTTCATTTTTATATGAAATATGAATGGTAGAAATGAAATATATGAGTGGTAGGAAGGAAATATGGGTGGTATATTTGATATTAAAATAATATAGGTGGTATTTATGTAATATTAAAATTTTGGATGTTGAATATGTATATAAAATGTTATAAAGTGGTATGTATGTAAATTTCCCTTTTCTAAATTATATTCTACTTGAGTTCCAAAGGCACTGTGATCTTTGAAAAATTTTCTGATATTTTTCTTAAAAAAAATAGTGACAATATTTCTCTAATTTCAGATATATTTAAACTGAATATATATCTAAATATATAATTTCGTATTAATTATTGCATTGGTCCCCAGCCCCACAACTTTTCCGCACACACTAAAAACTCCTCTTTTGTCGTACGCGGTCAAGCCGTTCGACCAAAAGCCTGAAAGAGAGAGAGAGAGGCTGCACCTACGCCTTTATATTGCAGGGCCACCAAAGCAGACGAACAACATTTTTCCGTCGCCCTATCTCGGAACACTTCTACTATCTCTCACTCATTTCAGACTTTATCTTGGTTTCATCCGGATCGCTCGCCATCAATTCCTCTCTCTCTCTCCTTCGCCGCCGCTCTTCTTGTCTGTTTTCGTCAGTTTCCTATTATGGGGCGAGCTCCTTGCTGCGACAAAGCTAACGTGAAGCGCGGCCCATGGTCTCCCGAAGAAGATGCCGCTCTTCGCAGCTACGTCGAGCGCCATGGCACCGGCGGCAACTGGATCTCCTTGCCTCAGAAAGCAGGTCAAACCGATAGTCACGCCATTCTTTGTCCCTTCTTTTTACAAAGTTATGATGATTTTCCTCTGTCGTTTTTTTTTCCCCCACATAACGGCTTTCGGATTCGATTACAGGCCTTAAACGATGCGGCAAAAGCTGCCGACTGCGCTGGCTCAACTACCTCCGTCCTGATATCAAGCATGGTGGCTTCACTGAGGAAGAGGACAAGATCATTTTCTCTCTTTACAAGACCATTGGAAGCAGGTAGTTAATTAGGGATCAAAATCCCATCTTTTTCATTCATTCTGAGGCTAACAAAAACCTTTTTTTTTTCCTTGCCAGATGGTCTGTTATTGCTTCTCATCTCCATGGAAGAACCGATAACGACGTCAAGAACTACTGGAACACGAAGCTAATGAAAAAAATAATGGCGGCCGGAGAAACCATTAATTCTCCTGTAGCAAACAGCCAAATTACTAATAAAATTCACCATCCCTCCCCATCCACCCTTGCCACATCACCACCAGATCAATTCCCGGTGATGAAAGCCGAGGCCTTTCTCCCTCCCGCAACGCTCGATTCAAACTTTCCCTATTCTTCGGAGCCGTATCCGCTTCCTCAGCTTCCGCCCGAATTCGCTGCTACAGGATACAGCTTTTCTCCACCGGCTGACGATCTATCTGTCTCTTTCTCCGCCTCCTCATCATCCATCACAATGGACGACAGTGAAGGAGTCTACTTCAACCAAGCCGCCGCCTTCTTCCCGGAGCATGGTTTCTCCTCCTGGACGGAGCTGCTTGGCGGTTTCATGACCTCCGGCGTTTATCAAAATCTTTACTCATAGTAGTGCGGATAGTCAGTTCTTCAATTATGTAGGGTTTGGAACTTTATTTGGGCTGATCATGTGCCTTGATGGATTCATATTATTTTCTTTTCTATGCGTGTATGCACATGAGTAGAAGAATTGAGTTTCAAATGCTCCTCTTCCAGTTATGTTATCTGAGTTCAAAAATGCTCCTTAATTTCTTCCATTATGATGATCAGTACCTTCCCATCTCTATTTCTCTATGAAAACACTTTATACCAGAATATATATCCTCATTAAATTCGTTAAAAACTAGATAACAAATTATTCAAAATTTTAAAAATTTCGGTTATGAAAAAAAAAAATCTTTTCTGGTGCTGTTTTCTTATTTCTATTTAAATATAATTTAATCTTAAATATTTTATTTTTTTTAATACCTCTCTCTCATGCAAGATACTGCTCTTAATTATATTTGTAGGTAATATAAGCAGGAAAAATGCTATATTATGTGGGTTGGCATGAGTGGATCGGTGCCATACAAAAATAGATAAGAATATTAAGTAGCTTTCTTTCTTTCTTTCTGTCTATCGATTTTTTAATGTTACTAGTTCAGAAAATATTTGAAGCTATGAGTTAAAAATGCAGCCAAATAACTTTGTTTTGTGTTAAGAGTTTCCACATCTTAATTGGCAAGCAGGAGACTGACCATTTCTCTTGTTCTTTGGTCTTCGGCTCCTGCTACTGCTACTGCTCAGAGATCACGAAACCTGCATGAGGTGTAAAAGCAGGTTCAAAACTGACGATGGAGGGAGAGAAAGCTCTGGACTGGAACTTTATCTGTAGCTTCACTGGCGTCGCTGTTTTTGTTTTAATGGAGATAAAATTCAGTGACGGTTTTATATAAGGCAATAAGGACCTTCTCTTCCTAAAAAACATATCTTTCTGAAAAATTACATATTTGTTTGAGAGAAATCTGCGCTCTTTTCCAAAGAAATCACCATGTGGAAGGTTGAATACGTCAGGGAATCAATAATGCATAAAGCTTAATCTTCATCAGGGAGTAAAGCTGAACTCTTTTTGGGAATGGTAAAGGTGAATTATGGCAAATTTACTCATAAAATAAATTAGATTCCACTTTATTTGCTCTGATCTTCTCTCTCTCCCTCAGTATTTATAAATAAAATTTATTCACCTTTTTAATTAATCTTTTTTAATAAATTAGTGTTATTCACTTTAATGAATTGAAAAGGCCGTTGCATTTCTTTACTTCTTATTACATATTTTGCCATCTATTCTGTTATATATAATGGCACCTGTACACATTCTTAATTCTGAATCAATTAATAATAATTCTTCTCTTTTCTCGGTTGCTGTCTCCTTCCTGTCTTCTTGCTTTAGTTTGCTCACTTCTATCATGGTATCATGAGCCAAGCTATGGGAGATCAAGAATCTGCAACCTCCCTCCCTCCCGTCTCCGCTGCTCTCTCCGGCAATTCAACTACCGAAATTCACATTCCACAACAGCTCAAGTTCCTCATCTCCAATATCAAGAATCTTGTCCCCAATGCTCTCACCACCGACAACTACGCTATATGGCGTCTTCAACTTCTTCAACAATTTACCGCGAACAACTATGCCGGACACCTCACCGGCACCACTCCCTGCCCCACCGACGTCTCCTCACAAGAATTTCAGCGTTGGCAATTAGCCGACAACAACCTTCTGTCCGCTCTTTTCTCTACTATTTCCCCACCCCTTCTTCCGTATATCATTTCTTGCACCACCACCCACGCGGCCTGGACTGTTCTTGAACGACGCCTACAGCCAACGTGCCGCTCGCGCGTCATTCAGCTCAAGAATGAGCTCCATCATGTTCAAATGCAGAACATGACTATGCAACAATATCTCAACCACGTCAAAGTCATCGTCGACAATATAGCCGCCGCCGGTTCCAACGTTGATACAGAAGACGTCATCCTACACATTCTAAATGGACTTCCGGCTTCCTACAACCCCTTCAAAGCAGCAATTCGTACGTCACCGCTTCCGATGACACTTGACAATCTTTACTCTCTTTTGTGTAGCGAAGAAATTATCGTCAATCAAGAAATCTCCAAAGAAACCTCTACTGTGGCCGGCGCCACCGCTCTCTATGCTACATCCTTAAATCAAAGCAGAAATAGGCCACCACGCAAAATTGGCAAGATTCGCAACTTCTCCACCGGACAACCTTCGCTGCCATCACTTCCCTCGTCGAACGCATCAAGTCCGGTTTCTGCAAACACAGCCAGACCAATTTGTCAGATATGCAACAAAGCCGGACACATAGCCTTAAATTGTTGGCACCGATCCAATCCGCGCTTCGCTCCGACCAATCCTAGATCCATGAATGCGTTTCTTGCCCAACCAAATCAGACGGCATCGCAAGATTGGGTAGTAGACTCGGGCGCCTCCACTCATCTCACGCCTGACCTCAATAATCTGCAATATCCCACAAACTACCAAGGTCAAGACAGCGTCTCTGTTGCAAACGGCTCGCAACTTCAGGTTGCTCACTCCGGACAAGGTCTTCTTCCCCTCCCCGACACTCCCCGTAAGATCTACCTACGCAAACTCCTTCATATTCCGCATTTGTCTCATAATCTTTTATCCGTTTCACAACTCACTACCGATAATCCTATATCGGTAAGCTTTGATGCTAATGGTTTTCAAATTAAGGATCGCAAGGACCACCGTCTACTTCTTCATGGGCCTCTTCGTGATGGGCTATACCGTCTTTCTCGTCCGACCAACTCAAATCCGCAGGCGCTTCACGCCACGACGAATCAAGAAACGATCTGGCATGCACGTCTCGGTCACCCTCATCACGGGCTTCTCAAAACTCTGCGTTCTCATTTACCGGATATTACACATGTTTCAAATAATTTTTCTTGTGTTTCCTGTACTGTTTCCAAATGTCATAAGTCTTCTTTTAATAAAAGTAACTCTGTTTCGCTTGCCGCTTTTGATCTCATTCACTCTGATGTTTGGGGTCCGGCACCAGAAAATTCAATGGATGGCTTTCGGTATTACGTAATTTTTATAGATGACTTTACGCGTTTTTCATGGCTATATCTTATGAAATCAAAACAGGAAACGGTATCTAAATTTCGCTTACTTCTTCAACTTATTTCCACACAGTTTAAAACCACTCCGAAGGCCTTTAGGTCCGATGGCGGAGGCGAATACACTAGCCACGAGTTTAACAATCTCCTTCAATCTCACGGTATACTAAGGCAACTCAGCTGCCCTCATACGCCTGAGCAAAACGGGCTCGCCGAACGGAAACACCGCCACCTACTCGAACTTGCCCGATCCATGCTTCACGCTGCAAATCTTCCGATCATTCTGTGGGCTGATGCTATCGCCACTGCAAACTACTTGGTAAATCGCCTTCCCTCATCCTCCATCTCCAATCAAACTCCCTTCTATCGGCTGCACGGCCAACACCCAACCTACACTCACCTCCGCATTTTTGGATGTCAATGCTTTCCCTGGCTCAGACCTTATACCCCCAACAAACTTTTGCCGAGATCTCAAGAATGTACATTCATTGGGTACTCACCTTCTCATAAAGGGTATAAATGCTTGAGCCCTCTTTCAAATAAAATCTTTATCTCTCGACACGTAACTTTCAACGAAAATGTCTTTCCGTATAAACTCAATCCTACTCAATCATCAAATCCCGTTCCCACAGCCGCCTACACTCCTCCCTTGGTTCTCATTCCACCTTCGCTGGCCATCAATCCTATGCCGCCTACATCCTCTCAAACAAATCAATCCACTGTTCCCATCCTTCAAAATAAGCAACTCAATCATACATCACCCGAGATCTCTTCTGTTCAATCCATACCTCCACTTCTCTCTAATCCTCCTGTTTTCAATTCCTCCACACACCACATGCAAACCAGACTGAAGTCCGGTATCACCAAACCAAAACATATTTTCTCTCTTCACACCTCCGTTTCTCCCGATCAAACGCCAACTTCATACGCTCAAGCCATCAAGCATTCCCACTGGCGCAAAGCCATGTCAGAGGAATTTCATGCTTTAAAGAAACAATCGACGTGGACACTTGTCTCAGTGCCCGACCAAACTCCTATTCTTGGGTGTAAGTGGACTTTCAAGACCAAACTACTTCCCAACGGCAAAGTCGAAAGATACAAAGCTCGTCTTGTAGCACAAGGCTACGATCAACAATACGGAGTAAACTACACAGAAACGTTTAGCCCCGTTGCAAAAATGACAACGATTCGCGTTCTTCTCACACTCGCCCTCAATCGGAATTGGGAAATTCGTCAACTCGACGTCTCGAATGCTTTTCTCCACGGGGATCTAACCGAAACAATTTACATGCGTCAACCTCCGGGTTTTGTTGACACCACTGCTCCGTCTGCCGTCTGCAAATTAAACAAGTCTCTCTATGGACTCAAACAAGCGCCGCGTCAATGGTTTGAGAAGCTAACAACATTTCTTCAAGATCAAGGATTCAGGTTTACTCGTTCTGATCCTTCACTTCTAATTTTTCGTCGCAATAATATACAAATCTTTCTCCTCATATACGTCGACGATATTTTAATTACAGGAAATAGTCCAGCAGCTCTAGCCGAACTTCTTTCCAAATTGCACGACCAATTTGCGTTAAAACAACTCAATCAGCTTTCTCTATTCCTCGGCATCCAAATCATCCGACAGGAATCCGGTCTACTTCTCACACAACAGCATTACGCTGAGAAGTTACTCCGCGACTCTGGGCTAGCCGACTGCAAGGCTGCCGATACTCCGCTGACTCCCAAGTCCAAAAGCAACACTGCCATCAGCCCACCGTTCTCGGACCCAACTCTTTACCGTCGTCTAGCTGGTTCTCTCCAGTATCTTTCTATCACCAGACCTGACATTTCTTTCGCTACAAATCAAGCCTGCCAACACATGCATCAACCGACTATTCAGAACTTTCAGGATCTTAAACGTTTGCTCCGGTATATCAAGGGCACCTTATCCTTCGGTCTGCCCATAACTGCAGGTGATCTCACTCTTCGGACATATACCGATGCGGACTGGGCTTCCGACTCCTCCGACCGGAAATCAATTTCCGGTTTCTGCTCCTTCTTAGGTCCAAATCTAATCTCTTGGACCGTTAAGAAACAAGTGACCGTGGCCAAATCGTCTACTGAGGCCGAGTACAGATCTCTTTCAGCTGCTACCTCCGATGTCATTTGGTTGCGCCGTCTAGTTGAAGAACTAGATCTTCCGCAACAATCTCCGACACCAATTCATTGCGACAACACTTCTGCGATCGCCCTCGCTCGCAATCCTGTCTTTCATGCACGGACGAAGCACATAGAGATAGACTATCAATTCATCCGCCAGCATCTCAAGACCGGCGCAATCTCCATAACACATATTCCGTCCGATGCTCAGATAGCGGATATTTTAACAAAGCCTCTCCAAATCAGTCGTTTTCAAACCATGCGTGACAAATTAACTATTCGGTCCCTGAATAGTTAATTTGAGGGAGGCTGAAAAGGCCGTTGCATTTCTTTACTTCTTATTACATATTTTGCCATCTATTCTGTTATATATAATGGCACCTGTACACATTCTT